TAAAAAGCAGAGTAACTCTTTAAATAAAAATGTTGCGGAATTTGTTCCCAGTAAAACGTAATAAATACGTTATCAAAGCATTTCGAAGAAAAATATTTTTATTCATTTTAAAATATTTGGGATGCCATCGTCAATAAGGAAACATAAACACAACTTATATTGATTATCACTAGTGATTTATATCTCGTTAATCTCTTAGTGTAATGTGACTTCATATCAACACCTATGATATAAATAAAATAAGTGGGTCAGGTTGGGAAACCTGGTGAGTACATAGGGTTTTCAATCCACAATAAATAAGTTTATTAACTTTATCAAACCAAACAAACCCAATTATCCATTCTCGTTATCCTCAGATTACGTCCCTAAACACTTATCATAAGGGACCTAGACAAAGGATCAACATCAGGATGGACACTATTGCCAAGGGGATTCCTTAGCAATAAATGTCCTATAGGCAACCATGTGGGGGATGGAGTACACCTGGTGAGCACACAGTTTAGATAAACACATACATGTTGCGAGCCCCCTAGCGTTGCACTGAACTGTCTAGAATAGTCCGTGGTCGTCATCTATACTCCGTTAGACGACTGGATCATCAATAACATCTATATCGAGGCCTCTCATTATTTTATTTGGTCACACAAAAACTATTACATCTACCAATGGTTTACCCAACACATTTTGTAGATATAAAATACATATACAATTTAAATCATTTAAAACGTGTATAAAAATATTTCACCGAACATAGACAACAAGTATTCAGATAATATGCACACATAGCACGTAATTTATATTAATTACTTCATATATATGTGTAAGATGAAAGGTACCATGCACTCACTTGAAAATGTGGTGATTCCGAACTCAGACAGCGCTTCGCTTCTTAAAAATAATTTCCTTCGACGAAACCTACTTTTATTACCACTAGAGTTTAGTATATTATTCGCCGAGACTATTTAATAGTCTAGCTATTATTACTAGTATATAAGCATTAAACAATACTTATATAACCCATAATAATAGCCAAAGTACTTATTATAAGTTCCTAATAACGTTACTATAATTAAATAAAAGCTATATTAAAAATAACGTATGTGTAGCTCACTTACAGTGGATTTTATAGAAAATCGGGATTTGCTTGGAGAACCTTTCCTGAGAAAAAAAAGCTCTTCTTCGCAGAGTCGTCGAGCACTCCGGGGATTCTGTCTCATGCTAGGGAGGTCCCCTAGTCTTTTCGGGGGTTTCGGGGCTAGAGAGAGGTTCTAGAGAGAGAGAGAGAGAGAGAGAGTAAAGAGAAGAAAGAATGAGAAATGTATGAAGAAAATGACGGTGTGATAGGTTCTATTTATAGGGTGAAAAATGGCTGAACTTGGTGCCACATGTCACTGTGTAGTGGCAAGACTTGGGGAGAAAGCAATGGCCAAGATTGTGTCACATCACCCATTTTCGCACCACATACTTCCAACTTCTAAAATCCGTAACTTTCACATACGACCTCCGTTTTTGACGTTCTTTATATCCACGTGTAGGTAAAAATAAGATCTACAACTTTCATTTTAACTCTGTTGGCTATGTCTCGACTGATCTTAAATTTAACAGTACGAAGAGATTATACTATTAAATGTCCGTGTAAAATTCATAACTTCTACATACGGACTCTCTTTTCGTCTGTTTTTTTACCGTTGAGTTTCTATTAATGAGATATTCAATTCACATTTAGGTCGAGTAGGCCAAAAACCGCTCGATCTAAAATTCGAGTTTCGGGTTGTGCACTGCTAAGCCAAATCTTAGAAAATTCATAACTTCCTCATACGAAGTCAGATTCAAGCGTTCTTTTTTTTTTTGTGGGTTCTCGGTTTAACGTATACTACAAATTTTGTTTAGATTTATAAGGCTTAAAATTACTCCATCATAAATTCACTATTTACGTCTCCCGGTGTCATGCCGGTTTTGCTGTAAAACTTCGTCGAACCATAACTTCTTCATTATAACTCAGATTTCAACGTTCTTTATATGTATGGAATCCTTGAGACGTATTCTACAACTTGGTTAACATTATTCATTCTAAATAATTTTTTGTAAAAACTTCATTTTCGACCCCTATTATCTCTAAGTTGACTAGCCCGGATCTACGAGCGTTACAATTATCTCCACCTTAGGATGATTACGTCCCAGAATCATCAACGAAACAGGGCTCACACGATGATGCCATATGTTATCTCTTCATCCTAAGTAATAACCGTAACTTTTATATTTCTTTGAATGAGTTTCCAACTCCAAGACTTCCTGACTGCAGGTGATGCCCGATCTTGGACCTGCTCTCTATCTCATGTTAGACTTCCAATCATGTTCTTCATGTAAAGATCTTGATCTTTATTCGAGACTCCTTTTTAAAAAAACTTGAGATAAGTTTCTTACTTGAGATAAGTTTCTTACTTCGGCAACAGACCATAGATCCAAACAAATAATAGCATATAAGGCATAAGACATTTAGCACATAAAACATTCTAGGCATATTTCCTAAAATAAACTAGTGCTTGTGTTTAAAATATAGCAGACACTCATCTCACAATCATCGCTTAGCATTCTAAGTTTAAGTCTAGAAATTTCCAACAATCCTAGTTCGCTTAAACTAATGCTCTGATACCAACTGTGACATCCCCATTTTCACGCCAGAAAAGACCGATTTTGTTTATGCTTTATAAAAATCAGAGTACCTCTTTTAATAAAAAATCAGAGTACCTCTTTTAATAAAAACATTGCAAAATTTGTTCCCAGTAAAACATGATAAATACGTTATCAAAGCATTTCTAAAGAAAAGTATTTTTAATCATTTTAAAACATTTAGGATGTCATCTTCAATACCGAAACATAAACATAAACAGAACTTACATTCATTATCACTAGTGATTTATATCTCCTTAATCTCTCAGTGTAATGTGACTTTATATCAACACCTGTGATATAAATAAACTGAGTGGGTCAGGTTGGGAAACTTGGTGAGTACATAGGGTTTTCAACCGACAATAAATAAGTTTATTAACTTTATCAAACCAAACAAACCTGATTACCCATTCCCGTTATCCTCACATTACGTCCCTAAACACTTATCATAAGGGACCTAGACTAAAGACCAACATCAGGATGGACACTACTGCCAAGGGGATTCCTTAGTAATAAATTTCCTATAGGCAACCATGTGGGGGATGAAGTACACCTGGTGAGCACACAGTTCAGATAAACACCTACAGGTTGCGAGCATGCTAGCATTCCACTGGATTGTCTAGAATAGTCCGTGGTCATCATCTATACTCCGCTAGATGACTGGATCATAAAGAACATCTATATCGATGCCTCTCATTATTTTATTTGGTCACACAACAACTATTACATCTACCCATGTTTTACCCAACACATTTTGTAGATATAAAATACATATACAATTTAAATCATTTAAAACGTGTATAAAAATATTTCACCAAGTATAAATAGCAAGTATTCAGAAATTACGCACACATAGCACATAATTTATATTAAATACTTCATATCTATGTGTAAGATGAAAGGGACCATGCACTCACTTGAAAATGTGGCGATTCCGAACTCAGACAGCGCTTCGCTTCTTAAAAATAATTTCCTTCGATGAAACCTAGTTTTATTACCACTAGAGTTTAGTATATTATTCGCCGAGACTAATTAATAGTCTAGGTATTATTACTAGTATATAAGCGTTAAACAATACTTATATAACCCATAATGATAGCCAAAGTACTTATTATAAGTTCCTAATAACGTTACTATAATTAAATAAAAGCTATATTAAAAATAGTGTAGGCGTAGCTCACTTAAAGCGGGTTTTATAGAAAATCGGGCTTTGCTTAGAGCAGCGTTCCCAAGCAGAAAAGTTCTTCTTCTCGTAGTCGTAGAGCACTCTGGGGATTCCGCCTCATGATAGGGAGGTTCCCTAGGTTTTTCGGGGGGTTTCGGGGCTAGATAGAGGTTCTAGAGAGAGAGAGAGAGAGAGAGAGAGAGAGAGAGAGAGTAAAGAGAAGAAAGAATGGGAAAGGTGTGGAGAAAATGAGGATGGGAGAGGTTCTATTTATAGGGTTAAAAATAGTTGAACTTGGTGCCACATGTCACCATCTAGTGGCAAGACTTGGGGAGAAAGCAATGGCCAAGATTGTGCCACATCACCCATTTTCGCACATCACACTTTCGACTTCTAAAATACGTAACTTTGACATACTACCTCCGTTTTTGACGTTCTTTATATCCACGTGTAGGTAAAAATAAGGTCTGTAACTTTCATTTTGACTCCGTCAGCTAATTCTCGACCAATATTAAATTTAATAGTATGAGCAGATTATACTGTTAAATGTCCGCGTAAAATTCATAACTTCTACATATAGAGTATGTTTTTGTCTGTCTTTTTACCGTTGAGTTCCTATTAATGAGATCTTCAATTCTCATTTAGGTCGGGTAGGCCAAAAACCTCTCGATCTAAAATTCGAGTTTCGGGTTGTGCACTACTAAGTCAAATCTTAGAAAATTCATAACTTCCTCATACGAAGTCAGATTTGTGCGTTCTTTTTTTGTATGTTCTCGTTTAACGTATACTACAAATTTTGTTTAGATTTCTAAGGCTAAAAAGTACTCTATCAATTCACTATTTACGTCTCCTGGTGTTGTGCCAGTTTTGCCGTAAAACTTCGACATACCATAACTTCTTCGTTATAACTCAGATTTCAATGTTCTTTATATGTACGGAACGCTTGAGACGTATTCTACAAATTGGTTAAGATTATTAATTCTAAATAATCTTTTGTCAAAAATTCATTTTCGACACCTATTATCTCTAAATTGACTAGCCCGGATCAACGGACGTTACACATGGCGTAATTGTAATTATCACTTGTTTCGATGGTATCTTAGACATTTGATAAGTATTTAAAAGATCAAATTAGGAATTAAAAATATCAATCATAATAATCAATTTAACAAATTAAGAAAAAACCCACACACACAAACACGAGTTTCTCACTCTCTCTCCCATCTCTCAGGTTCTTCACGACTGCATCATCCGCCTCCTTCCGATGAATATCTCTCCATGCAATCTTTCCACCAAGGATACCGCCACATTGAGGATCAAATTCGACGCACAGACTAAGGATCGATGATCTACTCCATCTACCGCCTTCCTCTTCCTTCCATCCTCCGTCTCTACCTGTTCTTACAAACAACAACGACTACCAATCGCCGATACTTTGTATGGCATATCAACAACGTCAAATCCACGATCCAAGAGATCTACTTCATTTATTTTTATGTTTGATTGCAACAATAAATCGTCGAATCACATTTGTGGTTCATCGATCACCTCTATCTGGCAAGGATCTTATACCACCAATGCCTTCTTTTCCAATTGCATCTCCAACCGCCACAAACTACAAAAACACTGTCACATATGGCTCCAACCTCCACATTTCCCACCTATGTATCGATTATTAAGTAAGAATCATCTAACACTTCATGATTGAATCTGTTTTCATGACCTCGATCTGTTACATTGAATGTTGCTAATCTGATTTACTTCAGTTTAATTTTATTCTTCAAATGTAGTTTGACGTAGAAACTCTTTGAATCAAAACCACTAATTTTCGTGAGAGTGGAGATCTCCTTGTTTTGCTCATCACATGTTCGATGAAATGCCTCAGAGGGTTTTGGGTTCTTTTGAGCTTAGAAGAAGTGACATCATATGGAGATCATTCTTTTGCAAAAATTGGAATACATCAAATTTTATTTGCTCTAACTTGCATTCTCTTTTTCACTTTATCGATTATTATTTTCATCATATATTACAACAGTCTAGTTCCAAATGTTTTTGTGCCCTAAAATTCAACGAGCTCTTACAATATTTTCACTGTTTTTAATGCTTTGGTGCAGACCCCCTTACCTTGAACCAATGTTTCTTGTTCATATCAACTGGTTCTTTATCCCACTTCTTCTTAGATCACCTATTTAAGGTAATATTTCTCTTCAGGTTTACATAATAGAGGCAAAATAATAAGAGTTATTAGTTTGGATGTGATTCCTATATTTACATGTGATTCAAATGTAAATCACATGTGATTCACATGTAGATCATATGTGATTCACATGTATATATCATGTGATTCACATATTAATATAATCTAAATCATATGCGAATGATATATGATTCACATTTAATCACAAGTGAATTACATATGAATTATGTAAATATGAACACATTCATATGTTAATCGCATGAACATCACATGTTATTCACATATTAATCACATTTGAGTCATATGTAAATCACATTTGATTCACATATAATTCACATGTAAATCAAATGTGATTCACATGTAAATCATATGTGATTCAAATGTAAACACATATGATTCACATGTAAATCACATGTGATTCATATGTGAATCACATGCGATTCACATGTGAATCACATTTACATATGATGTCATATGTAAATGTGATTCATATGGGAATCATATGTGATTCATATGTGAATCGCATGTGATTCATATGTTAATCAAATGAAATTCACATATGTATTTTTTTGAGCGTTTTTGCATCAATCGTTTTTTTTAATTTTCTTGTAGATTTGGAAAAAATTGTGGTGAATATTGAAGAGGTGAAAAATGATAAATTGAAGAAAATAAGGAAATATTGACACGAAGACATGTAAACGATTTGAAATTTGTAGAATTTCTTATTTTTTATATTTTACATTGTATCGAATAAAATACTTCTACTGTTATGTTTATATATTAATTAATAAAAATTAGAGTTTTTGTGATTTACTTACGAATATTATAGTATAAGAAATATATACATGCATTTTAGAAAAATATGCATATATACACCTAAAAATTTACTTTTAAAAAAATGCAATTTTTTTTTTAATTACAGTTTTATTTTTAAATGCAGTTTTTTTTAAATGTAACTTTTTTTTAAAAAAACTTGTAGTTTTTTTTTTTTTTTTTTGAAAAAATGACGTTTTTCTTTTTTTGAAAATGCAGTTTTTTGTTTTAAAGTGTAGATTTTGTTTAAAAAAATATAGTTTTCTTTAAAAAATTGGAGTTTTTTTGAAAAGAAAAATTAAGTCTTTTTTTTTTTTAATTATAGATTTTTTTTCGAAAAAATTGCAGTTTAAAAATAATTTGTTTTTCAATTTTTTTTTTCTAAAATTCATGTTTTCTATAAAAATTAAAAAATTTGTATTTGCTTTTAAAAAAACGAAAAATACTATATTTTAAAAAATCTAAAACTTTGATTTATGATGTAAATTTTTAGACCTTTATAATAATATATTAAATAACACAAAAAATTAAATATTAAATAAGATTGGTAAAATGACGATCATGTAGTTAATGAATTACTTTTTATCCAACGCTCCACTTTTAGTTATCGGGTTCTCGGATAACTTTGAGATCTCAACGGATATCACCCCTATATATATATATATATATATATATATATATATATATATATATATATATATATATATATATATATATATATATTCACATAATTTAGTGAAGAAAATTTGAATCCTCTAAAAAAATTGGAATTGAAAAGAGTTAGAATCTTAAGTAATTTGAATCATTGACGTGTTTGATCCGCTCAAACTAAAACAAAATCTAAAATGTTAATAATATTGATGATTTTAGTGTCATCAATCATTTTAGTATATAATCAGGACTAAACTGACACATGCAAAAAAAAAATTGGCTACAACCCAAGATTAGAAGTACGGAGTGTGCACTCAGATAAGTTAAAGTGACATTGAGAACACGTGGGTCTAAGGGAAACCAGTGGTAGTACGGAGGGCAACATAAGTCTACTAGAAATAAACATGTCTTTTCCCTTCCGAAATTAACCAAAGACAAATTGCAAATTTTGCCCTGTGCCATGTCAAAAATTGGGACTTTGGTCCGAAAAGTTTTAGAGTTGCACCACCAGTCCAAAAATTTATTTTGTTGCGAGTTTGATTTGTTGATTTTTTTTTTATAATAATGGATTTGCCCTTGGTATTTCGTTTTTGTCATGTTTTAATTTTTTGTTTTAAACTAAAAAAAAGGCAAAAAGAAACACTTATCCCTATACCACCTACTCACCCCTTACCTAAGACCTTTTACCCTCTTCCACTTAATCTATTCACATTACTGGCACACAATCGACGAAAATCCAGGAACAACGCTTGAGTCGTCACCTTCTTTGGAGATCTAGAACACAGTCAGAGATTTGGAACACCACTCGAGCAGTCATCACCGTTAGAGTTCTACAACGTTGGCTTCATCTTTCTCTTTCTCCGATGATGCTGACGATGCTCGTCGGATAACTCTTTCTCTCTCTTCTACTCTTCGAACATCGACCGGTAGGACCAATTTTAGATTTGGAATCCCCTAATCGAGCATTCCTATGTGGTCAACGTACAATGTTGTCTGTAAAAAACCCCAATCCACCCGCCGCCACTGCCATAAAACCCCAATCGACTAACCTTATGTTTTTCATCAGCAACATAAAACCCCAAGGGTGTTCAACGTTACCTTTATCAGAGTTGAAGATCTTGTTTTAAGTGCTAACGAAGCAATAGATCTCGCATTGTCTTCTTCGCCGAAAAATCGAGGGTTTTCCAAGAGGTTCAAACTTTGGTCGGAGTTAACGATCCGATGGTATTTGGTTGGAGTTAAAGATATACTTGTATTGATTGGTGTGGTGCTTGCGTTCATATCTCTGGTCGTCAACGGTGGAGGTAGCGTCCGTATCTCTAATCAATGATTGTGGTGGCAGCGTTCATATCTCCGATCAGTGGTGGGTAGTGGTGGTGGTATTGCTCTTTTTGAAAATCATGTAGAAAATAGATATTTTAGAAAAAAGGGAGAGACACGAAAGGGGGGAGAGATGGGTGAGGGTTGTTTTTTACTTATGTTTTGTCTTAATTGTTGTGATAAAAATAAAATGAAAAAGAAAAGTAAAAGGTCAAATCCGTCATTTGAAATATACTCAAAAAGTTTTGGACCAAACTCAAAATAATTTTTTTATTTTGGACTACTGATGCAACCTCAAAACATTTTGAACCAAAGCCCACAGAGACCAAATTTGCAAATTTGTCTTTACTAAATTAAACTAACATGGTCTATATTGATGGCGTCAGTTATCGTAGACACACACACGATTTATCATATAACATTACTCTATCAAAATATTATCTATAAGAACATAGAACAAAAGCAAGGTATTTTATGTTTTGGTCTTAGATTTTTCCTATGATCCAAATTCTATTTTTCTTGGAATAACTCAACTTTCAATTTGTATAACCCAAGTAATATGGTCGAATTAATGATTCTAAATGTATTTCTAACATGATGCACAATATTATCCAAATTTTATCGATATTTTGTATCTTTTTTTAAGAGCGATAATTTTTATAAAACTATCTGAAAGCTAAGAAAAAAGATTACATGGACATAATAAAAAAAAACCTCCCCAATTAGTCTTAAACTTCCTACTTCTACTATTAACCCATAAAAGACTGGGTGACACTTTTATCAAAAAGCTCACGCTGAAAAAAAGAGTAAGAGTTGAAAATCAAGGAGTTTCAAAAACACCATAAAACCCACCAACAAGTAAAAAACACGCCTCCAAATAGTATTTAACCGTTGAAGTAAAGTTCAACGCTAAAAGCCAATCAGACCAACCTTGAAGCGAAAAAGTGATAGGAAAAGGAGCATCCCACCTGCAACATATCAAACCGATAAGATCTTGGGATATCAATCACTAGAAAAACAAATGAACCGAATTATATGTCCCGCCATCACACACCGGACACATGACAAAATAAATATAAAAACCCTATAACGAAAGGTTCCAACATAAAGGTAATTTGTCAAGAACCAAGCACCAAATGAATACATTCACCTTGATGGAAACAAGCTTATTCCAACGGGACTGACAAGAAATCAACGGAAGCAAAATGCTATCAATGTGAGATCTATAAAAAGGCACTAAAAAGTACCCCGAACCCTACAAGGACCAACACCATCTGTCTGAAATAGGAGAGAGCAGTACATTATGGAGCAATAAAAACAAAACCTCCAACTGAGCCAACTCGACCCTGACCCTTGTGGGACGTCGAAAAGAAGACTCCCAACCATCCTGTTAGAACTTAGCGAGAACTGTAATATCCTACTCATTTTCCAAGGCGAATAATCATGGAAATCGGGTTCTTAACAGAGTCTGGTCTAACCAAAACTCACTGCAAAACAATGTACACACACCATTGCCAATACGTCCTTTACAAAAACCAACCATATTCAAACCTTTCCCAATCAAGTCATGCAAAGTGCTCAAAATAGAAAAACAAATAACAACCAAAAGACTTGGAAACCAACAATAGAGGCTAATTCTACAATATCCATTAATCGATTTTATAACCATAGCCTATAACGCCTTAGGATTAACAAGAAATCTCCAAACCATGTAAACAAAAGAGCACAGTTTAGCGAAAAAAGACTACTAACATCTAGACCACAAACTTCCTTTTTAGCCATGACCTATTTCCAATGTACCCAAGTCATCTTTCTCTCTTCTAAATCTTCCCCTGAAAACAAATTATTATGCATTGACTTAATTTGCGACAAGATGATAGCTGGAGCCCTAAAAATCAACATGAAGTTAGTCGGCAACTCTCCTAAGACCTACTTCAAAAACGTAAGCCTACCTCCCATAGAAAGCGTCCTCGCCTTTCAATTGGAAAGTTTAGAAGTAACTTTATGAATAGTACCAGACCAACCAACAATACGAAACATACTTTCACCAACACTGACCCCTAAATAAGAAAAAGGAAATTGCATAAATGCACAACCGATACCCGCTGCTCCCTCTATGTTCATTAGGAATATCAATCCCCAAAAGCTTTCTATTATGAAGATTTATCTTCAAATCAGAAGCTAAATGGAAACATCGAAAAATAGGTTGAAAGTCAACCAATCACTAATAATCATAAAGTATCTATGTAAAACATATGAGAAAGAGAGATTGAATTAGATCCTCTTTCCTAATAGTAATATCGGTAAACAAATTATACAACATATCATTATGAGAAAGAGGGTCACCCTGCCTCAAACCTCTATAAAACTAAAACTCCATGGTGGCTGACCCAGTCACCAACATAGAACCCATAGAAGAATAAAGACATCTCTGAATCCAAACCCTCCATGTAGAGCCAAAATTGAAACTTTCTAGCACATCATTAATAAATTCCCAACACACTGAGTCATAGGCTTTCTCCAAATCGACCTTAAGAATCATAACTGTTTTCTGCACCACCTTACACCATGAAACCACCTCATTAAGAATCATAGGTCCATCTAAGATTTGGTGCCCCTTGATGAAGGTTGACTACTCCATGCTAACCAAATCATTAATCACTGCCTCAAGTCTAATAGCTAAAATCTTGCCAACAATTTTAAATTAGCTGCCAATAAGACTAACAGGAAGGAAATATTTCACCGCCTTAGCGTCATGAACCCTTGGAATAAGGGAAATAAAAAGGTGGATTACTACTAGTGGAGCCTAGATATCCAGAGCTTCGCTAAGCTAAAATACTATGGAATCCCGAAGAAAGACCTCAAAAAATTAGGCTTAGAAGTTGAGAATGTTAGATTTATATGCACAAGAACCATTATTCTATGACATTGCTAATAGCATATGATCCTATAGAGTCACACCTTTATCACGTTGGCATATTTTGTATATTTATTGTTAATATGATTATTAATAAATAATATCAATTCTTTTATTTAATTAGAGAAAATTATTGTTTATGACTATAATAATAAAAGAGAAGACAAACTAGTTATTATATCATACGGTATGATTAAATAAGTCATGTACAAATGTTTTGGACACTTTGGCTAACCATGACTTAGCTAGTTATTTGATCCTTTGTTAACGTAACTTGGAGAAGCATTATTTTTGTCTCTTTTGATGACGATAATGGCTGAAACATTCCAAGACATGGGAGGTCGCTTGTAAAGCTTCCTCCCATGTTCCCCATGTTTTCTTTTAGTAGCTATTACTTTATAGTTAAATAATGACTATGGTTTTACTTTCATAAGGGTATTTAAAGGAGATTTCTTCATGAAAAATCACTAACCTTTGTCTTAGAAAGAAGGCAAAACCATAGGTGGTTTTCTACTCTTCACCTTTTTCTCTTTCAAAAGCTAGTTTAGTTATTAAATCTTCCTTGAGTTGTCTCCTTTAGTGCTTATTTGAGTTAAGCTATTAAAGGCTTAAGACACTCAATAATTCAAGGAACTAACACTCCAAGTACCTTAATCTTGATGGTGGATACTTGTAGAGGAGATCATACTCTTTGATCTTTCTATCTTCATAAACATCCCAAAGCCAAGTAGGTTCAAAGGTTCCAAAGGGTTTCACTCTAAAACACCCTGTGGTTGGCTTTAATAGCATTCTAACCTCTATAAGTGGATCCTAGATGATTTGGTTTTGTTAAAAACGCGTAAAATAAACCTGTTATTTTTAAAGTTTCCGTTATGGTTTTTACGAAAAACTATCTTTTATTTTATATGAAAAGCCATCAAAGAAAGGTGCAGAGACAAATGTGGGCATGAAAGACTGTTTATAGGAAAAAATTGATAAGTCGCGCTGCACAAAGGCCAGGAGTGGGTCGTGCCCCGGCTCTAGTTGGCTGCTCTCCTCTTGACACGTGGCATGATTGCGTTGGTTGGACGTGGACCCCTTCTATAACCGTGTGCCATGCCTCAAGCGTGCGTGAGATTTTCAGATTTTGAAGAATTCATATCTTCTTCATACGATCTCCATATTCGACATTCTTTATATCCACACGTACCTATCGACGAGGTCTACTACATTTGTTTATATTCCATTGGCTAAATCTCACTTTATTTTTAAAGTTATTTTTTTAACAGGTTTTGACTATTAAAGTTCGTATAAAAATTATAAATCTTTTGTACGACCTCCGTTCTCAACTGTCTTTATATCGAAGGACTCCTATTCACAAGATCTTAGATTCTCATTTTGATTTTTTTTGTCTAACACTTAACCAATTTGTATTTCAAATTTTTACCACATTACCGTGCTGAAACTTCAACAAATCCTAACTCCCTCATATGAAGTCAGATTTAGGCGTTCTCTATGTGAACGCTCTAGCTTTTATGATTACTATGAATTATGTTTAGATTACTTATGCTAATAAGCAACCTATCTATGACTCACTTTTTATGACTCATATAGTTGTGTAGGTTAATTGTGAAACTTCAAAGAATTATAACTTCTTCACACAAATTCGAATTTCCGAGTTATTTGTATATACGGAATCCTTGTCACATATACTGTAACTTTGTTTAAGATTATTTATACTAAATAAGCTTTCATTAGAATATCGTTTTATCGCTTATTGAGAAATCTCCTAAAAGACTTATAGTATGTAGTCTACAACGTACAAGACTAGCGATCTCCCTTTTAGAGGGTTCAAATTATAATAATTATCTCTTATTATATCTTAATTTTATAGCATGAAGTTGTGGCCTTACAATTACCTCCACCTTAGCATGATTAAGTTTGGGAATCATCAGCAAAGTAGGGTTGGATAATGATCGCACGAGTGACTTTTTCATCCTAAGCAATAACCGTAACTCCTATGTATTTCCCAATGAGTATCAAATCCTTGGTATTATTAACTGCT